CTCCGGAAAGTCCCACGTCCACACTGGAGCCAATGGCTCTTCACTTGGTGACAAAATCATCTCCTCGCTCTGGGGCAGATAGCATTCCTCAGAAACATGGTTCCACTGCGCCCTTCAAGGTATGAAAGGCGAATGTCACGGAGTGGGCTTGAGGCCAGGGCAATCATGGTCACTGTGGAGACCATCTTAACATTGTTGGATGGCTCAGAACCTGATGAAGCTCCCAAACGGGTGAGAACTTTTGCATCCTGGGCGCAGCATGCCAGCATGATGCTAAGCATGCCTTCCCACTCGTCGTCTGTGTCAGGCCAGACCTCCGCAAGACTCATCAGACGGCTTCTGAGTCAAGTGGGACGATGCTCCGTGCAAGAAAACTCCATGGTTTGGTTTCACTCCGCTTGTCAGCTAGACGAGCCTGGGCAGCGGAGTCGTAGCCTGCAGCTCTCGGCTCCAAAGCAATCACAACGTGTTGTCAGAAAGGCACCAGGCAGAGGGGGCGGCTGCCCTAGACTCGAAGGATACAGTAAATTGCATTTGCACAACATCGTCCCGCCTTCATCCCCGACATCTGTATCCGGGGTAGCTGCGGTGCTGCCGTTGGAACAACTGGACCTAGAGACCATCTAAAGACTTGGTTTGGGTTCTGGGCAAAAGGTGCAGAGGTTGTCAGGAGGGACTGCTGATGGCTCAAGTAATGTCAACCAACGGGAAGTTCACCGAAGCGCAGGCGCTTCTACTTCAGGCAAAGCGGAAAAGCCAATTTGTCGATGCTCGAGACTCGCTGTGTGAGGGAAGATATTGCTTCCTGGCTGATATTCCGACCACCTGGTTCGAAAGCCCGCATTGTGACGACGAGAACTTATGAAGCAGCTCGGCTTTCAAGTGTGTGCTTTAGAAGCACCTCTCTTGTGAAGACTGGATTGCTACAGAGCTCCGGCACAGGCACGCAGCTTTCCTAGAGATCCCTCGCGCGTCCTCCCGCTTACAAGCCTTCAGGATCCACTGCCAAGCGGCGGAATGTTGTCTGCAAAGTCTCCGTCCTCTCGATATGGAACCTGCAGCTCATGCTCAGAACATGCGATGCCGAGCACATCATGGCACGTCCGGTCTGGAGGATCCACGCTCCTCCGCACAATCTCTCCAGCATCAAGACAATGCCGGGGCAAGGGCATAGCCGCTGAAGCTGTGACAGCGGAGCAACTTGCGGCCCTCGCAGTGGAATCATCTATCGGTAAAAGCTGACAAAGGCTGGCCATATCATCAGTGAAGCATTGCCTTGGGGGTCTCGATGCCTTCCTCGTAATGGATGAATGTGGCACCTGATCAGAGTGCCTTGCCTTCAAATCAAAACCCTTGAGTGCCTTACAGCGCCCTACAGGCACCAAGGTGGGTACACAAAGGCTTCAGACGTGGTTCCACTGGCAGCATTCTGCCCAAACCGTGGGCCTGAGGGCATTCGGGGTGCACATGAAGCTCTTTAGCTGTCATGCTGTGCTCACCCAGGCCTGGCAGAGTGGGAATGCGCTGCGCTGACGAGACTTGAGCCGAGAATCACGGCGCGGTCTTCATGGGCCAGCTCGAAGTGCACTGACTGCTCATGCGTACTGGACCGAAACATCCTACAGTGTGGGCTTTTGCGAGGCCCGGAAGCCAAAGCATGGTGCCTTGCTGTGGAAAAAATCCATCACTTTCAGGTCAGCTTCCCACCCTTCGAGCCCTAAAACCCAGGTCATGGTGCGGGCATCGCGAGCGTGCTTTTGCTTTTTATGGGCTGAACCTGCGCAAAAGCAGGCTCAGCAGCCACATCTGCACGACTGGCTCAAGTCTATACAGAGCAAACCGCTCAGAAGCTTTGAGCTACAAATCCAAGATTCACTGTCAAGCCGGAATCAAAGCCTCTGGCTGCTTTCGAAGAGACTGACGCTGAGCCGCCGAGATGTCAAAGTCTGCAGGCTGCTTGGCAAGGACAAGCTGCGCAGGCTCCCGCCGAAGCTTCTACCCAGAGTCCTCACAATAGAAGTGCGCAAGGTCAATCAAAAAGTGCAAGAAAAACGGAAGAAAAAGCTTTAAAAAATGCTTTGACAAGGCCAGCTTCAATGTCTGCAGGCCATCCGGGTAGGGCACGTCTTGGACATAATGGTCGCCGAACTTGAGGGTCTGCAGGCTGCTTGGCAGAGCAACACCCTTCAAGCTCTGGTTGAAGGCTTTTCTGAACGTCAGCGTCCGAAGGCCGCCTGGCAAGGACACGTCGATCAAAGGCTGGTTGAATCTGCCGCCAAACGCCAGCGTCTGCAGCTGCTTTGGCAGGCATACATCCTTCAAGCTCTGATTGAAGCCATCTCCAAATATCAACGTACCCAGGCCGTCAGGCAGGGACGTACCAAAAAGGCTCTGGTTGAAGTGGCTTCCAAACGTCAGCGTCTGCAGACTGCGGGGCCAAGAGATGTCTGTCAAAGTCTGGTTGAACTTCATTCCCAACTTCAAGGCTTTGAGGCCGTCTGGCAAGGATACCCCCATCAAGCTTTGGTTAAACTCGTCGCCGAATGTCAGCACTTGAAGGCTGCCAGGCAGCGACACATTGCCCATTGTTTGGTTGAAGTTAGAGCCCAATGTCAATGTCTCCAGTTTGCTCGGCATGCAGAAGTCTTCCAAACTCTGGTTGAAATCATCATGGAGCACTAGGGTGCACAGGTAGCTTGGCAGCGACGCCTCTCGCAAGCATGAGGGGTGAACTGTTAATACTTCTAGGCTGTCCGAGAGAGACACACCCTCCAAGCTCTGGCCAATTCCGAGTGCCAGCTCCTGCAGGTGGGGCAAAAGTATGCCAGCCAAGCTCTGACTTGATTTCTTTCCGAACTTCAGCGTCAGCAGGCTGCCCGGCAAGGTCACCCCTTCCAACGGCTGGTCAAAGCTATCACCGAGCCTGAGTTGACCTGCCTGCCCCTGAATTTGGGAAGCTTCTGCTTCTCTTCGCACAACTCACTATAAATAGTTGCAAAGCAATGCAAGACTTATGCGGCCGCCCAGAAGCACCAAGGTCTGCAAGCATTGTGGCAAGGCTATGCCCTGCAAGCTTTGATTGAAGGATTTGCCGAAGATCAATGTCTTCAGGCTGCCTGGCAGGCACACTCCTTCCAAGCTTTGGTTGAACATCCCACCGAACGACAATGTCTGCAGACTGCTTGGGAAGGAGACCCCCGCCAGCTTCTTGTTGAACCGCTCGCCGAACACCAGTGTTTGCAGCCTGCTCGGCACTGACCAATGGTTCAAGCTCTCATTGAAATGCTCACCGAACGTCAATGTCTGCAAGCCGATGGGCAAGCAAACGCCTCCCAGACTCTCGACGAAATTACTGCCAAACGTCAGAGTCTGCAAGCCATCCGGTAGGTCGACCGCATCCAATGGTTGGTTAAAGCTTTGACCGAACGTTAACGTTCGAAGGTTGCTCGGCAGGGAGACACGGACCATGCTCTGGTTGTATCTCGCTCCGAAAGTCATGGTCTCTATAGAGTTTGGCAAGGACACGTCCCTCAGGCTCTGATCGAAGAAGTTGCCAAGATCCAGCGTCTGCAGGTTCCGGCAGTAGCTCATGTGTCGCAAATGCAAGTCTCCCAAAAAGGTCACTGATGCAACGGATTCCAAAGCACGCATGTCTTCCCAAAGTAAGCAGTCACCTTCTCGCGCGCGCATTAAGCTTTGCATGACCTGGCCAGCACCCATCTTCTGCACGATGTATGACAAGCTGTTGTCGCAAATCTGGTCTTGCAATGGCCTGCGCTGCCGGGCTCGGGTTCAGGTTTGGGGGCTTGCATCTTTGAGTGGCCTGGACTCTTCCAGGACGTTTCCACCAGAGGTCAGCTTGAGGCTGTGCCCTCTTGCCAGCCCCACCTGGGATGGACCGGGTAGATGCGGCTAGGCAACCCACACAAACGATCGACAAAACTCCTTCAGGCCCTGCAGAGCCCTACGCATCGGCACGCCTCATCTTAAAACTCCGACAAGCCAGTGAACGACAAAAACTTGTCCCTCGCCAGATAGGTCCATGGATCATGTAGCAAATTAAGCCCAAAAATCGACTCCATCTGAGGTGTTTGGACTCGCCACCTTTGAGGCTACAGCATCTGCCACCTGCCCCAGTGATACATCCTCGCGGGCTCAACAGGGAATTGCAAATTGACCCTTGTCATCAATTCTTTTTCTTGCAACATACCCTTGCCATGAGCAATTAGGCCAGGCACGTAATCTGATTATCACAACACCCCGGCATCGCATGAAGCCCAAAGCCCTTGCTCCTCATTTACTTGGAGCTCAAAGCTGGATCCTTGAAGGCCAGAGACTCGCAGCGTCTTGCCTCGGGCTTTTGGGTTTGAGGGTGGGGATCGGGAAAGCTTTTTCGAAGCTCACATTGACTTAAACATTGGCGAGCGCATCGTTTGCTTTCACGTCCTTGTTTTTCCTTTCCGGCCTCCTCGAAGAGGAGGAACCTTCTCAAGCCTTGGCTTCTTTTCAGGTGGCTCTGCCCGAGCATCCTCCGCCATCAAGGCGCGGGCCGGAAAAAACGGGGAAGCTAAGGTGCTGGAATGTCAGGTGCGTGTAAGAACTTGCAAAAACTTTAACCCCGCTGCACCAACCACAGCACTGGTTTCTCCATCACCAATTTAAGAAAGGACTCATTTCAGCCTCGAGCGGTCATATGCGGTCGGAGCCAAAAGCAGGGAAGACTGTTTGCAGGCAACGAGAAACAAATCATTTTGCGCAATGCTTCTGCAACAAGTGGGTGAAACATGGTGACACGGGGGAATAAGGCGCTGCCTGCAGCATGGTGCTCAAGGACGTGTAACCTTACAACACCTTGGTGTTGCCATGCATTCATGCGCCACAGCCAACTGAAGAGTGGCAGGCATTGTGCTTCAGCCATGTTGCTTGGCAACAGACTGGTTGGCCCAACCAACCCCTCAGCCCCTGAGCCTGTTGTCAGTGAAAGCCACTGCAGCAGAGTTTCATCCACCTGTCTACAAGCTTAACGCAGCTTGACCCATTTCTGAAAGCTTCTTTTCTGCATAAGATGCAACCGCAGACCTGGCCGGTAGCGCATCCACTCGCCATAGCCTGCTGGTTTGTTGGAGCCCCTGAAACTGCAAAGAAAGCACCTCAGAGCCCGGCTCATCCGTGCTCCACTTGTTTGTGTGATGTATGCGCGCTCCTGTTTTCAGCTTCAAGTATTAATTGATGCCAGTCCACATAGGCCGCGTGTAGCACCTCGGGGTGCAAGTTCTTTAAGCGCCGGCCCCACGTGCAGCCGCTGCGACTTGTGGCCTCACTGCAAACATCTTTCATAAGTTGTTGTGTGGAAGAGTGTGTGAGCCAGGCTTTCCATCGCGACTTTCGAACTTGCCCCGGTGGGCCACTAAGGTTGTAGGCACCTCTGAGAATCGCTTCAATTTCTGCAAATTCCCCTATCTCCCCCTCACAGCATGTAGCTTTTTGCAAGGCTCAAGCTCCGGTCTTTCGACTTGATCGAAGGAAGGGAGTTCTGCCCAGAAGGCCAGGACTGGTTCACATACAATAGTAGCTTGACCTGAAATGTAGAAAACTTGCGTCCAGCCCATGTATTGCCTTGACACTAACTGAGAGGATGAAATCAGGCCAAAAGCATATGCCTCTGGCATAGCTTCCGATCTGAACCGTCTGGAAGACACATGGATCCGACACACTTCACCGGCCGTGGGAGATCCAAGCTGGATTACAATGACGGCAGCATGTCTTTCTTGCAGACTCTAAAATGCAACATAATTACAAAGACTAAGCCAATGCAAATTCAGTTCAAGGCGACAGCCTGAGGCACCTGGACAAGCCAGTAGTTGATGCCAACAATTCCTCCTAGCGCAGCTTACCAAATGCTGACAAGAAGCCACCTCAGTAAGATGTCGCAAAATCCTTGTCCCATCCAGTTCCAGGATCGATGTACCTGCAGTGGCATTGGCAGAACTTGCGGACACTGGCGGATCGCACCTGCTTGCGCTTGGAGGAATATCATTTGTGGAGTTGCCCAAAACTGCTGGCATCTACCCAAAATGTTTTGGTTGCTGTCAAGATACTCCAGGGTTTTCGGAGCATCCTCCTTTTTCGCCACGAAATTGGACAGGTCTTTGACATTACGCACAGCTGGCTTGTAGGGAGGGGGACATTCCAGTCTCCTCAGGTGCCCAGGCGATCCCTCTGAAAAGTCTCTGGACGTGCTGTCGGAGTCTTGCTGGACAAGGATCTCTAACTGGTCCCAATTAAGATCTTCGAACCACGAATGCGACTTGACATTGGCCACCTGAGCTGCATGCAGTGAATTTCCACCTTTGCCACCCCTTTTCGCTGCGGAGTAAGCTGGGAAGCAGACACCTCCTTTTCGCATGGCCAGTCGATCCGAGGGATCATTTTTCAGCAAATTTTCCTTTCAGACTTGAACATTGCAGGTGGCACTTCTTCATGAGTTAGGGCTGCTGAGGCACCACAAGGTTCTTGCAGTGTCCCTTCATCACGCTCCTCGGGCTGAGATGTTTCTAGTTTCCTCCTGTGAACCCATCTATATCAGAAGAACGGAAAACACACCACACCAGGCAGGCGTCGGGAAAGCGACCTTGCCAATACCTTTGGTAACTTTGGCATAAATCTGCCTGGGCAGGCACGCATATGCACGAATTACGAATTGTGACTGACATTTTGAAAGTGACGGATTATCTCTCACAGCTGGGCTGCATAGGATACGCTGATTCAAACGGCGGATGGCCCGACCTGAGCTATATTCTAAACTCCTTAAAGGGGGGGTTATATAGGGGATTATATAGAGGACTACCATAATGGTTATTAAGGGGGATACTAGGAGTTTAGACAATGGCTCACCTGACTGCAGATGCCCCTGTACGGTAGTTGCCAATAAGCGCAATCGCTCACAGCCTCACGTTCCCCAGAACATGATCCGCCGAGCTGCATCAACTCAAAAATCAGAATGCCAAGGGTCCACCAATCGACCTCAAAGTGGCACAAAGGGCAGAAAGCTAACTCTTCTCTACTGAGGTGTTTTGAATATTCTTTTGAGATACATTTGTCTCAGCTTTCTGCGGCATTGGTATGTCCCGTGGAGGCGATGAGCTCGGGGGCAAAGTAGTCAGGAGTTCCACATGTCGTGTACGTCTTCCCAACCACCTCAAGGAAGCGAAAGCCACAGGAATGTGGAGCGTTCTCAAGGCTGGGAGATGTATGTGTTGAGGCGTCCACGAACTTTGCCAAACCCATATCGGTCAACTTCAAGCAACCATCAACTGCTAGGAGGAGGTTCTCAGGCTTCAGATCCTTAGCTTGCTGATGCCCGGGACTGATCATGACATCATTCCTGCACATAGCTGGGCTGGAGAAAGCTGCAACTCCGAAATGCAGGACCGAGCCGTAAGGCAGATTTGGCATGTTGAATGCTAGGCCGCATTCCAGCTACATAGTCAACTGCATACACTTCCGTGCCGGGGCCTGCGATTTTTCCAAGCGGAAACAACTGCCAAAAAATGATTTCAGCCAAGATGCTCTGTAGATGATGCGTCGCTGGTGCATGTGCTCAAAAGCAAAAACAACGGAGCCAGTGTAAAACCTTGTCAGCAAAAAAGCCATACGATCCTTCTCTCGGCTTGGGTGATGCCACTCTGAGGTTGTGGCTTGCAGTGTCTGTCAGAGCCATACAGACCCCTCCTTAATGACTCAGGCTACACTTCGCCATTGAAACAATATGGGTTGCCACCCAGGCACCGAATGTATGTCGCATAGAGCTCACCGCCCAAACATGGCTCCAGCAGGAAGTAAAGCCTGAACTCAATATCACTGCTAGCCACGACATGTGTATTACGCATACAGTGCAGATGCTTTTCACCAAGGCTCGTCTGCGTTCCATTGAATGTTTCATACAACTTTGTGATGAAGGAAGAGTTGGTCATTGCCTCAGCACACAGGGAACGATGGGCCTTTGAATTGCTAGTCTGTTGCAGGCATCCTCTCTAGAGCAAAAGCACTGCTAAGCAAGCTAAGCTTCAAGAATGTTCTTTTCATTCATGATGCCTTGGTTCACATATTCAACGCAAGCATTCCATGCCAGGTGGCGCAAGACCTCAGATAGGATCCAAGTCGCTTTCTTGCATGCCAGTCTTAACAATATAGCCTTTGCTAATGGCCTTGAGGGCATAAGTTTCACCTGGCAGGGCAGCACTGCGCAAGAAAGCGACAAAAGCCCAAAGAGCACGCTTTGCAAAGACAGCTAGGAGGCACCTGTCTTGGCATGTTCCCAAAGCTCCACAGCGCCAAAGCCACCACATCCCAGCAAACCCACTCGTTTCAGCTCGCTCCGGCGGATGCGGGGCCGGTTTGGAGCCAGGGCACCTGGGAATACAATATTCGGGGTCGCGTCCCCCGTATCTACCGCAATCTCCTATCATTCACCTTATAAACGCCCACAAGAAGGCACAATTCAGTTTCAGCATTCCACGCCCCCGCCAACTTTTAGATTGCTTGATGTGGAAAAGTCTATGCCACCCCCTACCCTTCAAACCAGTAAACCGAACACTTCACAAAAAGAATATCAAGGGGCCGGTCGCTGCTGGGTTTGCTGTGTGGTGTGGACGCTCACGGCCCTCACGGACTGCATCAATGATGTCCTGATGAAGAATTGTTTGGGATGTCTTGCAAGGCAAACCACCGACCACGGGGATTTTGAAGCTTCAGCGGAGCCTACGCTGGAGCCTCTCTCTAGGAGGGGTGTGGGATCAAAAATAATCAGTATCAAAAACCAAAAAAATCGGTGATCAAAAGAAATTTTAACAAGCATCAAAGTTATGTTAAAATCGATGATATTCGATGCCTGAATACTGTAACTGGTATGATTCGGAGGATCAAAAAAGAATACAAATGGATCAAAAATTATTCATTATAAACAGCCAGGACGAAACATGAAAATGATGAAAACAACCGTTGACAAGTCATGAAAAATCGGGGAAACGTGAAAATATGATGAAAAATATCAGAAACAAATGAAAACAAAGAAAAATGATGGACATCCTGAAGAAGATCAAAATTCTTGAGAAATGATGAAACATGATGGACATGATGAAAGTTCCTGAAATGATGAAAAATGATGAACAATGATGAAACATGATGGAAATGATGAAAATCCATGAAATGATGAAAAATAATGAACAATCATGAAACGGGATGGAAATGATGAAAATTCAGGAAAATGATGGAGAATGATGAACAATGATGCAAAATGATGGAAAACTGATGGAAAATCATGGAAACTTAGGAAACTGGATGAAAAAATGGCGAGGCGTGATGAACCATGATGAAAATCATGAAAGTTGTGAAATTGATGGAAATTATTGAAACGACGAAAAATCATGTGCTGATGAAAGTAGTGACAAATCATGAAAAATCGTGAAGATGGTGAAAAAGGAAGAGAACCTTGACAACTTTTGAAAAATATGACAATGATGAAGCAGATGAAAATGATGAAGTTGATGACACATGATGGTAAATCATGAAAACATGCAAATCATCAAAATCATGAAAATGATGAGAATGAAACAAATAATGGAACTGATGAATACGAGGATCCCTGTGGTAATTTGTTTGATCCCGAATAAATTTGATCCCGAATAACTGTGTTCTTGATCTTGACTTTTTGATGCGCATCCCGATTGATATGGCCATGGACATCGGCCCTCTCACACAATCAGCGCATGCGCGATCGCCACGGGTCATCGGCAACAAAACGTATGAGCAGGCGAGTTGCACTGGCGAGCGGCTATGGAGACCAGAGCTCCCAGCGACATCAGGGACAAACGCCTTACGAGGGTGGATCTCTCTGAACGCGACATAGCCCTTCCGCCACTGGCCTCAGGTTGGCATGAAAATCTTCATGAACGTATTCCCAAGCTTCACTGCCTAAGGAAGCTCCAGTTCTTTGGGAACATCTGCCATCAAGCATAGCCAATCAGATAATCATGGCAGTCTGCCTTTTCAAATGCAGGAACCTCTTTGCCACAATTAAACGTTCCTGTGGCGAACTACCCAGCTGGAAGACGCTCTGAGACTTGGGCATTCCCAATCGCTAGTTCTTTATACGTAAAACTCAGTGCGCCCTAGAAGCACGACGATCGCCATGGTCGGCTCCCACGGCTCCCACGGCCTGGCAAAGAGTTGAGGTCCCAAACCAGATGCACCCATTAACACAGGCTACTCGTATCAGCCCATTCTTTGGAGGGGCAAGTGTGCCGGTCACGAATGTGCGTCTGACGAATACAAGCGGCTTTCATTAAGCATAAGTGAAGCCTGCAAGATACTTGAGCACAGCTTTCAGAAGGTTTGCAGCTAGACTCTAGCAATGAGCTCCCCA